GCACTATTCACGCCCATCCAGTTTCACGGTACCGCGCCATCGCGCCATTCAACAAGACGAAACAGACACGCGCGAACAGATAAGCACACTAGCAATTGAGCGTCGTCAAAAGATGTTGGATTTAATAAGTCGGGAGCACCATAAGTGTTCAACGCGCTCGGCTACATCAAAATAACTAACGACAGAAAGGATAAAGTCAAAAGCAAAAAACAAAATATAAAGAAAGGCGCGACTACACTTAGTCCGCCTGAGCATCACTAACATTCTTCTGCGCACCCATCAGGCCTGTCTTACGGCGCACCAAAGGTTGGGAATCCTCCTCATCAGTACTCGCTCCGTCATCCTTCTTCTCACCACCACTGGCGCCCTCGACCTTCTCCCTTTCCTGCTGCTGCTGCTGCTGCTCTTCTTCCTGACGCCCTTCCTCTTCCTCCTCTTCCTCCGACTCCGAATCCGACTCCAGCGGCCTTTTCTCGTTCAGCCACGTCCTCACATGCGCGACCATGGCACGAGTATCCCACTGGTAGCCAGGATTCTCCGGGCGCACCTTCTTGCCCACGACAATCACAGCCTTAGTCATCGCATCAGCAATGATCTTCCCAAATGACAAGGAAGACTTGAACTGGCGGACAGCAACAGCTTGCGCTTCACGAACCGCCTCCGCCTTAGCCACATCATGAAGGCGCACCAAATCCCTCTTCTCCTTCTCAAACTCATCCCGAGCCCGCTTCAACTTGTCTGCGGCGTCGGACACCAGCTCCTTCTTCTCTTTCTCCTTCTCGTCCAGCAGACGCTTCCGCTCCACCTCAAACTCCGCCCGCAACTCAGCCCGGACGCGCTCCCTTGCGGTGTCCATCTGATCCGCCAGCTTGCTCTGCAGGACGCCGAGCTCCACTAGCGCGTCATTGGCTTTTGTGGTGGCCAACTCCGCGCGTCCTTCAGCGCCAGCAAGTCTCCCCTCCAGCTGCTCAATCCGAGACTCTTCGGATCTCAACTTCGCGCGCTCGCGTCCCCGCTCCTGTTGAGCGCGGAAAGTCGCCAGCAAGCCCTGCGAATACAGCGCGATAACACTTAGCAAAATTTCTGATAAAAAAAAAAATGATGATAGTTCACACTCCGCAGAAAGTCTTACCGCGAAATGGATCTGAGCAAGGTCCATGAGCGGATCAGACTTTTCCATGCGGGACGGGATGCCCAAAAGGGGACCCACGGCCCGCAGCGCAACATACGCCGACGCAACGTTACACGCGGCGCCCGTATGCAACCGCACGTCACGGAAGTAGTCGATGGCCCCCCCGGCCATCTGCGGCAGCTGTTGCTGGACTCCAGCTCCAGACGAGCTACTGGCACCACCTCTACCGGCACCACCTCTGTCGGGACGAGCGGTGCTGGCTGCGCGCGGAGTATGCTCCGCAATCGCCAAAGGCACGCGCGTCGTCGCCGGTGCTGTTTGCACAGCCGGCTCCATAATGCGCACCGTCTTCGGCGCCTTCTCAGCAATGGACGGCTGCTCCGCCGTCTTCCTCTTCCCGCCCCTCTCCGAGGCAGCCTGCTTACCTTCCCTCGACTTCTTCCTCCCACCGCGAGGAGCCTTGATGACTTCATCAACAGACATCATGCTCGCCAAGCTAGAAAAGTCAACACCTGCGCCAATAAATGTTAAGAGGGCGGTTAATAAGAAAGAATACAAAACGAAAGGAACACAACTAACCATCGGCAAACAATTCGGCCAGGCAGGCCTCGCGGACCCCAGCCGAGTGTAGGTCAAACTTCTGAAGCAGGCACGCCTCATACTCCTGATCGAGCCCGGGGTACTTGCCCAGCTCCGACTCGTACGCATGCGTGCCACCCTTCATCCAAGTGGTTGGCTCCGCAACATACGCGCTCGCCCACTCCCCGGGCGTGGGCTTCACATAAAAGAAGCGCTCGAACCAGGTCTTCATAAGCCTGGGCGAGCCGTACACAAAGCCATCAGGCCTGTTATCACGCCGCTTGATGGAAAGACAATCACTCGTCTTGGTGGGCTCCTTGATCTTGTAAAATTTCCGGAACAACCCATAAGTGGGCGTGATCTTGAGCCGCTTGCACGCCGCTCGGAGGCAACTAGCGTGCATAATAACAGAGGGAGAGAGCCGCGCGATTGAGCAATTGAGCTTCTCATATAAGGCGCACAGCAGTGGGTCGATGGGAAATTTGAATCCCATCACCCAATACTCTGTGTAAACGCCGAACCAGCCCGGGGGGCAGTTCCCAACCATGCTGCGCACAGACGGTACGGCGTACTGCCAGCTGGGGGGCAATCCCAACCCACGCACAATCTCCTCCACATCCTCGCGCCCGTAAATTGATGCGTGGTCGGGCCCGCGGAGAAGATTATCATGTGGGGCTGGCTGATCGCCCCACATCTCGGCCCAATCCAGAACAGTGTAAACCGCGCCCACGCCTTGGAACCCTAGCCGGCTCACTGCTTCTGTCACGCGGACATGGTAAAGGGGCTCCGACTGCGTCTCTGACCCATCGCGCACCTCGGAGGTCGCCCCGCCAGATCTTCCGTCATGAGTACGCCGGATTATCAGGACCCCACTAGAGGCCGCCGGCCCACTACCCGACGGAACCATATCGGCGTTGGAAGACTCCTGAAAACCCCGGCCGGAATCGACGTTGCCCGACGGCGACGCCGAAGCACCCTCGTCGTCACTAGCATCGTCGTCGTTGCTAACACCACCGCCGTCCCCGTCGTCCCCGTTGCCGGAATCGGCCGGGTCCGACTCAAGTCGGGTAGAAGTAGGTGAGAAAGAAAGAGGATTACCTTCTTCGCCCTGCACGACCTCGGTCTCATTGATGTTGGTGCTATCCATGGCAATACCTTGAGTAGCAGTGGCAAACGGCAGACTTGAGGTTGTAGAAGAAGAAGAGGAATCCTAGAAACAGAGAGATGGAAAAGCGAGAGAGCAAAGTAAGAAGAAGGAAGGATGGAAGAAAATTTCAGGAGCAGCCGAATATTTATAGGTGATGATGGGAAGTCGAAGGGGTTAAAGGTCATCGAAAATCGCAACCGTCAGAGGATTTCGAAATTCAAAAGGCCGCCAGAGCTAACCAATCGCACACCGACACGTGGCAGACTCCAATCCCGAACAATCATGACGAGCATAGGCACTAGTCGTCGACGTCACTAGTGACGCGCAACGCCTGGGGGGCATGACACACCCGCAAAAGGGAAAAACCCCACCCCCAAAAAAACGCTCGAAGAAAACCTCGCGGAAATCGCGCACACAAAGCGACCGCAAGATTCCCCGTGAAGATCGCGCACGCAAAGCAACCGCGCACACAAAGCTCCCCGTATAGATCGCGCACGCAAAGCAACCGCGCCGTACCCCGCAACGCACAGGAGAGCCCCAATATAGTAGCGCGATCACAACGCTTCAGAGCGCACGAAACCTAGCCGGCCAAGTCCTCGCAAAACACGTGGATCCGAGTCAGCAGAGCGGAAATCACAACAGGAGGCGTTCGAGAAACACCCCCTGTGGGGGGCAATTGTTGGGCATGTGACTCGGATCACCCCCGCGCCAAAAGAGCATGTCAAACCGCGTGCCGCAACAGACACGGCGAGGGCGCGACACGTCCGACAGCGCCGAGACCTCACGCGCGGCAAGAGCAAGGCTATGCGCGCAAGTGGGAAGACAAGGCGGCAACCAGACTCAAGAGCCGGAGAGGGCGTCATTGTGTCTCCCGAGGGAAGGTCACGTCAAGACTTTTAGGTACAAATCATAGACAACCCTCTGACAAGTCCTAGGTTGGGGGATGGCCTAAATCCCTGACACATCAGTAGTCACGTCGTTGTACCGTCTCGAAGTCCACCCACTCACCCACCACCATGTAGCCTATAAATATGGCATTTACTCCGGTGGGTGAGGGGATCGCATTTTTTCACCATTCTCTCTCTATAACAATTACTTCTCTTTCTAAAAATTCGGACTCCGGTTCTCACTCAACTCTCTGATTCTTGTCTTCTTGATCAAACTCGACGTTCGCGTTTCTTCTTGACCCAAACTCTCACTCGAACCTCACTCCTACACTCAGTTAGGTTCAAACACATGTATATTACAATCATTGATTTAATCCCATAAGTTAATTGACAATGTTTGTTCCTTTCCTATAAATACGAGAGTTACAAACCTCTCAACGAAAAGTTCACAATTTAAATGATTTTCTCTTGCAGTCATAAGATCAACCCATTAAATTATATTCATGAATTTAGGAGGCTCATATATGATTATTTTTCTAACTAATAACAAATTAAACCATATAGAAAAAAAACTAATCACAAGTTAAGACACCATTTTCAAAATTTCATTAGGTTCAATGTTTCTTGGTGATGTGATATTCTTTTTATACATTCTGTGACATGGCAACTGCATAGAAATAAGGATAACAACAAACAAACAGATAAACCCTAGCATAGATTGTGATGCTCATTCGACATTTTTATCATTTATTAGTTGCAAACTAACCAACCTAACCAAAGAAAAGAAGGGAAATAAAAAGAACCCAACCCAACCAAATTGTTTGCATTTTAAATAGTAACCTAAGCCATAACCACATATGGTAAAACAGTAAAAATTCCTGACCACCAAAAAATCCATTTTAACCCACTTCCAAGTTGTAAAAAATCCCATCAAATGCAAATTTAACCACTTGACAAGACAGGATATGATCCTCACCAAGCACATATAACAATTAGGATAAAATAAATAAGAAATGAAAATTAATAAGACACATCTCATCTCAAGGCCATTTCTATCATCACCATAGCATCACCCTACCCCAATTTGTAAAATAAAATAAATAGAAACAGGCTGGAAAATTTTCCGGTCCATTCATTTGCGCTTCAAATCAATCCTGGCCGTCAATTGCCTTCTTTCCTAAACCAAACAACGGAAAAAGCCAAAACTGACGAACCAATCACAGCTCTACACACACTAGTCTCTCAGCAGCAGCAAGCTGTGCTGTGTACAAAAGATTTCCTTTCAATTACCCCATTCCTTTGTTCTTTCTTTCTTTCCCCTTTCCTCTCTTCTTCTTCTTCTTCTTCTTCTTCCCATTACTACTCTTCCCCCCAGCTACCTCAGCCGCCCTGTAATAAATTTCCCCTTCGTTAGTCCAAATCATCAAAATTCTCCTGCTTTCGTGTGATGATGGAGCTTAACACGTTGGCAGCAGCAATCCATATCCCCAGCTCTCTTCCCTATTTGGCTGCTGGCCCATAGAACAAACCCATAAAGCAGAAGAAGAATAAGAAGAAAAGGCAGCCATGGTTCTGCTACTATCTCAAGGGTACTGGTTCATAAGCAGGGTGCCATTTCTGGGTTGGTACAAGGAGATCTCTTGAAGTGTTTAGTTGGAATCTGGTGAAGAAATTAGAAGCGAAACAGAGGGAAGTTTTTAGCTTTTCTTTTTATTTATACTCTCTTTTGGGGGTTCTAGTTTGATTTTTCCCTATCTTTTTCGTTGGGTGACAATAGATCGCTCTTGGCGGTTTGTTTGCCGTGTGAAGCTACTGTGGGCAAGCTCTGATCTCGAAGGTTTTTTTTTTTAAACAAAAATAAGTTCTTTTTTCGTTTTTGGTTTCTTGTGTTTGGGGATTTTATGTGAAGGAGGTAAAACGGACAAAAAACAAGAATAACGATGGTCTCCCAATCTGGATATTGCTGTCCTTTGTCGGTTCTTAATTAAAATTCCTTATTCCCCCTTCTGGGTTTCAGTCCTTTTACCATTTCAAAGCCCTAGCTGTTCACAAGTTCATTAGTGTTGCAAAGCTTGAAGCTTTAGTCTTAGTTCTTTCTGGGTAGTTCCAGGGATAACAGTTTGGAGTGTGATTTGGAAGATAGAAGCTACTACCCCTTTGAGTTTGTTGCATTTGGCTCAAGGACAAGCTTTGGTGGTGATAGCTTATTCAAAGTGATTGTTTTGAGATTGGAGTTTCTTTAGGGGTTTTAGGCTTTTGGGTGACCGGAGTTGGCATTGTCGTGAAGAGAAGGGTGTGATAGTTAGGAGGTGGAGATATGGCAATGATCTGCAAGGATGGTGGTAAGAACAATATGCAGCAAGGGCACATGGAGAATGGAAAATATGTGCGTTACACGCCTGAGCAGGTCGAAGCCCTTGAGAGACTCTATCACGAGTGTCCCAAACCCAGCTCCATTCGCCGCCAACAGTTCATTAGGGACTGCCCTATCCTCTCCAACATTGAACCTAAACAGATCAAAGTTTGGTTCCAGAATCGAAGGTATATATAAAACTTCAATTCATTTACATAAGTTTTGTTATTGGGTTGATGGCATTTTCCCAATGTGGGGTTTGTAATGTGAATCTTGATCTTGTGTCTTTGCTGCTTTCAGATGCAGGGAGAAGCAAAGGAAAGAGGCGTCTCGACTTCAAGCGGTGAATAGGAAGCTGACGGCAATGAACAAGCTTCTCATGGAGGAAAATGATAGGTTGCAGAAGCAAGTGTCTCATCTGGTGTATGAGAATAGCTACTTTCGCCAGCATACCCCGAAAGTGAGTGGGAGAATCTTACTACCTTTCTTCCTTTTGGCCTTTTGCTCTTAGTTTCTTCTTGCTTATTATCAACCCTTCAATTTACTTCAAAAAGATTCTTACTTCGCAATTGTTTTCTGAAAAGCTGCGAAGACTGCAACTTTATGCCATTTCTTAGATGGCCATTCTATATCTTTCATTTGGTTTGTGCTCAGTGAAAGTTCATCTTAATAACTGTTGGGTCTCAAGAGTGATTTTGGTTTTTTGTCCCTGGTATTGTTTTCAGACAACGCTTCCAACCGAAGACACAAGTTGTGAATCAGTGGTCACAATTGGTCAACATCATGTGACACCTCAGCAGCATCCTCCAAGGGATGCTAGTCCTGCAGGGTTAGTGGAGCCCTTCAATTAAATATTTTCGGGGTTTGCCATGGAAATATGTACCATCGTGCTTTGCTTTGTCCACCTAACTTTGTTATTTGTGTATGTGTATTCATGCTTGTACTTTTTCCAGGCTATTGTCCATTGCAGAAGAAACTTTAACAGAGTTTCTTTCAAAGGCTACTGGAACCGCTGTGGAGTGGGTCCAAATGCCTGGAATGAAGGTATTTAGTCTGACACTTCTTGGGTGTTTTGAATGAATTATATTCTTTTATTTAGACAGGAGTTTTCACCAATTAAAGGTATGCAAGTTAAGATGTAATTAGTGGACAAGATAATCCTTGTTTTCCTCAAATTGCAGTAATCAATGTGAATGTCTGCATTTGGAGGGATTAAGAAATGTCAGATGTAATTAAATTATTCATTGATGATCGTGTCACCATATGGGCTAGTCTGGAAGCGTGTCGTTAGAAACCTTTTCTTTCTTTTACCTATTAACTAGTGTCTTTTGTTATCATAACGCATGCCATTTTGAGTTCTTAACAATGGGCCATGACGCATTCTGTTTTGTTCTTGGTATAGTCAATATTTCCATAATATGGGGATTTAATATAGGCGAATAGTAGTTTGCTCTAGCTCTCTCGATGGTTGATACAAGCTATTCTTTGTTGACCGTTCTCGTTCTACTTTTATTTTGTGCAATGTGCAGCCTGGTCCGGATTCCATTGGAATCATTGCTATTTCTCATGGTTGCATTGGTGTGGCAGCACGAGCCTGCGGCCTAGTGGGTCTGGAGCCCACAAGGGTAATTGCTCTTCCTGAGTGTCCATGGTGAGCTTTACTGAATCGGGGTATCAAAGTTGATTTCTTCGACTATGTTCTTGTAGGTCGCAGAAATCCTCAAAGATCGGCCTTCGTGGTTCCGCGATTGCCGTGCTGTGGATGTTGTCAATGTGCTACCCACAACTAATGGTGGAACCATTGAGTTACTTTACATGCAGGTTTGAACTGGCAACTATGCAACTAATCTGTATCTAAGGGTTTTTCAGTTTACTCACTTCATGTTATTAATGATACAGCTCTATGCTCCAACAACCTTGGCACCTGCTCGCGATTTCTGGTTGTTGCGCTACACTTCGGTATTGGAAGATGGCAGTCTTGTGGTGGGTCTCATTGTATTCCAGCTCTTAATACGATGTTCTGGTTGGTTAACTTTGTGGTTAGGAAGTGTTCTGATATCTCTCTTTGATATGTGCAATTCTTAGATATGTGAGAGGTCGCTTAAGAATACTCAAAATGGCCCTAGCATGCCACCTGTGCAGCATTTTGTGAGAGCAGAACTGCTGCCTAGTGGTTACCTGATACGACCTTGTGAAGGGGGTGGCTCAATCATACACATCGTTGACCATCTAGATTTGGAGGTAAGATGTTTATTGTGTGGGCCTCGTCGGTTGTGGCATTAGTGGTCTATAAAGGTGTCCTTATTGGGGTGCTCATTGTTTTTAACTAGCCTTGGAGCGTGCCTGAAGTTCTACGACCGCTCTACGAGTCCTCCACAGTGCTTGCGCAAAAGACAACAATGGCTGTAAGATATTACCGTAGTGATGCAAATTATAAATGATGACACCATAACAAGTACTGATGTTCGACTATCTGGGTTTCTCATTATCGTTCAGGCTTTGCGCCAGCTGAGGCAGATAGCCCAGGAGGTTTCCCAGACTAATGTAAGCAACTGTGGCAGGCGACCAGCAGCACTGCGGGCTTTGAGCCAGAGGTTGAGCAGGTGGTTAATTCGTATACTGTTTCAAATGAATTTGGCTGAGGTTCTCATTGTTTTTGGGCATCTAATAATTTCAATATGTTGCGCATTTGCAGGGGCTTCAATGAGGCTCTCAATGGGTTCACTGATGAGGGATGGTCAGTGCTGGGAAATGATGGGATGGATGATGTTACCATCCTGGTTAACTCGTCTCCTGACAAATTGATGGGTCTGAATCTTCCCTTTTCCAATGGGTTTCCAGCTGTTACAAATGCAGTTTTATGTGCCAAAGCATCAATGCTTTTACAGGTGAGGCTTTAATTTTTTACACTTTCTTGTTGTATCTAACCCTGTATGTGTCTTTATGCTACCCTGACATGCACTCTTTTTCTTTCATCCAGAATGTTCCTCCTGCCATACTTCTTAGATTCTTGCGTGAACACAGATCAGAATGGGCAGACAATGGCATTGATGCTTATTCAGCTGCTGCAATAAAAGTTGGTCCTTGCAGCTTACCTGGTTCTCGTGTTGGAGGATTTGGGGGGCAGGTTATACTTCCTTTGGCTCACACGATAGAGCATGAAGAGGTGAGTGCCCTATTTTTATGATGTGTAAACACTAGCTGTTATGCTTCTTTCTGACTTTGATTCTTTTTTTGCATGTGCATAATCCTTGCCTTGAATCAGTTTCTGGAGGTTGTTAAATTGGAGAGCATTGCATATTCCCCTGAGGAAGCAATGATGCCTAGGGACATTTTTCTCTTACAAGTGAGTTAATCAATGATGCTTATGTTAGCCCCTTTGGATAAGTATCTCCTATTTAGTTAATCAATGGTATTTGGGCCATGACATGCTGGGACTGTGATCAATGTGCTGACATTGTTTCTGTATTGATGTTGATGAGTACACAATTGTGTTCTATTTTCTTGGATCTTTGATGAGACTGCTGCACTTAGGTGTATACTATGTTATTGCAGTGGTCACAGTTGACAAATAGATAGTTGAGAGTATGCTAAGTCAATTTCTAACTGAGTGCTCAAAGCTTGTTGGCTGAATTGAGTCAAGTGCTGAAAAGATTTTTGGTAGGGTTATTGCTGGAAAACTGAAGATTTTGGATCGAATGGCTCCAATTTAGCAAGATTTATATGTTAAGGCTTGTTAACCAAATTTGATAAGTGCTGGGGTTTGTTCATAATGTAACTAATGACACGGCCATTTCTGGGTTCTTCGGATAGTTGAAGCTTGCCCGTGAATGTGATACAGAATAATGATGCAACACTTAGCTTGTACTTTTGTTCTCGTCTTCACCTTTGTCAGAAACAATGTATTGTGATACTTGATCTATTGACTTGAGGAAGCACACTTCAAGGGTGATGATTTTTTTTATCTTATAGTTCATGCAAGCTTGTAATCGTGTCTACTCGCCTTGATTGCTTTATCATGCTATCTTGACATGATTGTTGCTTTTCTAGTTTTCACCTTTACTGATCATTTTGTGTGTGTTGTTGACAGCTCTGCAGTGGAATGGATGAAAATGCTGTTGGAACTTGTGCTGAACTCATATTTGCTCCGATCGATGCATCTTTTGCTGATGATGCACCTCTGTTGCCTTCTGGTTTCCGCATCATTCCCCTTGATACCGGAAAGGTTGGTGAAATTAGACCTGGATGTTGTAAATTCTACAGGGGATTTCCAATTTGTATGTTTGACATTGTAAATTTCAAATTTCTGCAGGAAGCCTCGAGCCCCAATCGCACTTTGGACCTTGCTTCTGCTCTTGAAATTGGACAGGCTGGCAACAAAGGATCTAATGACTCATCTGCTAGTCCGGGTTGTGTTAGATCTGTAATGACCATTGCGTTTGAGTTTGCATTTGAAAGCCATATGCAAGAACATGTAGCTTCAATGGCTCGCCAGTATGTTCGGAGCATCATATCATCTGTTCAGAGAGTGGCATTGGCCCTTTCACCTTCAAACTTGGGCTCACTCGCTGGTCTTCGTTCGCCTCTTGGTACACCCGAAGCACAGACTCTTGCTCGTTGGATCTTCCAGAGTTATAGGTAATGTGTCAGTTGTCTTTTCATGTGAATTATTTGTCCTTCTGGCTTCTTTCACTGTTGTAGTCTAATTTTCTCCAAATATTTTGTCAACTGCCAGAGTTTACTTGGGTGTGGAGCTGCTCAAGTCCAATAATGAAGCAGGTGGTGATTCCATCCTCAAGTCTCTCTGGCATCACTCGGATGCCATGATGTGCTGCTCTCTCAAGGTATGCACTTATGGAGTCTTTCCCGTCTCTTTGTACATTCCGAATCAGGCCTGATGTGTACTGGAAAGGTTACTTGTTCTCGAGCCTTGCATATTGATAGTGATTGGAGAGTATAAATTGAACTCTCACTAGCCATCCAAAGCCACACATTGCTTATGATAATTGTTGCTATACTACAATCATTCCCTTATCCATTCGTACTGCTGGTCTAAAATGTTTTGAGTTGGTGCAGGCACTTCCAGTTTTCACATTTGCAAATCAGGCAGGACTTGACATGCTCGAGACGACCTTAGTTGCATTACAGGATATAAGTCTGGAGAAGATATTCGATGACCAAGGAAGGAAGACTCTTTGTACAGAGTTCCCACAGATCATGCAGCAGGTAATGGACACAAGTAGTCCTTTCATTAATTGGATTCTTACGACTAACACCCTGATAATAACTGTGTTAATGTGTTTGTGGTGGATAGGGATTTGCATGCCTTCAAGGTGGTATCTGTGTCTCGAGCATGGGAAGACCGATCTCGTACGAGAGGGCGGTGGCATGGAAGGTGTTGAACGAGGAGGAGAATGCACACTGCATCTGCTTCATGTTTGTCAACTGGTCTTTCGTTTAAAGCTTTTGGTGGGTTTCCTGGGGGCGTTTCAGGAGAAGAAAATACCTTGCAATGGGTTTTAGAAAGTGTGGAAGAGATGAATAGTACTCTGAAGAACACTGGCTTATTGTTGTTATGTTGGTTTTGTTGCCCCCCGTATGTTTAATGGACAGAGTATTATTAAGAGTGGTACGGCTGTGATCGGCAGAACGATGTGTAAGGCACAGGATGTGCCCTGTATGTGTGTTGGTTTGTATCCAGGAATTATGATCGCAACTTTCTTGTGTGTTTTCAGTACTCCACACCTGTCATGAACCAGTTGCTCCCAATAGCTCGAGTTGTTGGGAGAAGGGTTATGCTGGATCTTATACATGCCCGTGTATGGTGCTTAATCACTTCCTTACACGCCCCCTCAAACGAAAGCCGACTCATTGGCTTGAAGTTTGCACAGGCCCAACCTTACCATGTGCTTGAAAGACAACGGTTAATATTGGGGGTCGTGAGGACTTGAACACATGACCTCAAGGACAAACCAGCTCTGATACCATGTCATGAACCAGTTGCTCCCAATAGCTCGAGTTGTTGGGAGAAGGGTTATGCTGGATCTTATACATGCCCGTGTATGGTGCTTAACCACTTCCTTACAACACCAACAGCAGTTGGAACCTCCTAACCCCTTTTTTTTTTTGCCATAGATATCCCCATAGGGGAACAGCAGATACGAAGTATATAACAATATACATGACCTTTGCAGGTCAAATCACAAATGAAAAATGAAAAGACCTTTGCAGGTCTGACAAAATAGGGCTTTCCTGCCACGATATGGGCTGCCCTTGAGCTAGATTTTTGGGATGGAACTGATTATTAATGCAAGATGCAATGGCCGCGCTTCGCTGCGGGTAGGGGACAGGTTACGGTGGTTACCTCGAAGAAGTTAGTGGTTGAGGCTGAATCGAAGAAGTTAGTTGTTTAAGGTTTAGTGGTAAAGTGTGACAAAAATGTTGGTGAACTGTTGATAGAACCGTTCATGATATATAACATATAAGACTTTAGACTTGTATATTACACTAATTTACAAATGAAGTTATCATTGACCATAAACAATTTCAAATTCATATCATCACCAAAATATCTAATAAATTATTTAAATCATCTCACAAAAAGGAATCATAAATTTTTTAATTCAAATTAAAAATTATGGTGCCATTCGATAATGGAGAACAAAAAGTCGACGACAAGGTTGGAAAATGAGAAGAGTAAGCATATATAAAATTAATAATTATGGTTTGATGGTCTTAGTTTATGTTAAAGTATTTTTTTCAATTTTTTTGGTAAAAATAGTGAATAAGTGGACCAGTTAAACCATGGTGGTTCATCTAATTTTATGTTGAACCGTGAAAAATTGTTTGGTCTACCAATAACCGTCCAAACAATGAACCATACCGGTATCACAACTGATTTGACGATTCTACTGGCCTGACCGTTAATCCGGTTCAATTCTTATAACAATGTCATTAGTTATAGTTATATCACTATAACTAATGACTCACACCAGCCTGGCAGTTAGGGGTGGAAATCTGTACGGTATCGATATCCCAATACCAAATACTGAAATGCAGAATACTAAATTACACCCTAAAGTCAATCCCAATCCCAATCCCTAAATAATTTCTGTATCCTAATCGGTATTATCGAATACGAAATTAATTATCTTTACAATTAATAATTAAATATATAAATTAGATCTTATTGTTTAATTTAGGGGAAAATGACTAAGCAAAGAGTTTTGAATTAGGATATTATTAAGGAGAATGGAGGAGAGGAGACATCTCAAGTTCTTGTCATTGGTAATCTTTAATTTGACAAATTGGACGTTGAGAGACGACTATTAATAGTGATTGAATGATCTGTGTATAAATTAAATGACACTCTTGGTGGTTGAGGGTCATGTTGTAATGAACGAGACAGTCTAGTTGAGAGGATAAAATACACACTAGCTTATATTTCGGTATTGATCGGTATTTTGGTATATACCGATCCCAATCCCGTAATCCCTAATACCGAATAACAATTGAAATTCAATCCCAATCTCAAAAAATAATACGTGTATTCGGTAATACCAAATATAGACAAATTCGGTACGGTATTCGGTATAATCCCAAATACCGGTACCAAACTTCCAACCCTACTGGCAGCCCACAGAGAAAACTGCTCTTACAACCCACTAGCCACTAGGATAGTAATTTGAACGCACCTCGCCGGATATAACCCAGCCTAACTCGCGGTAATATGAGGTGGGGTATGTGTATCTGCTTCAGACTCGCTCTGTCTGCCCGGTCTCATTATTGGTTCATTATATTGTAATTTCTTATAGTATTTATTGATATTTCTCCTGCTTTTTTTTTAACTAATTAGACTTGATCTTTCAATTAGTTAAACTCAATAACACATAAAATCTTATGTGTGTTTTTTCAAATAACTTGTAGAAGTGGGCCGACCTGCCTCGCCTCGCCTCATTACCATCACTACAACCCACTACTGGTAATCGGTTTGATCAGGTCTACCTAACCAACAATTCGGTTAGACTTGGATTTTTTCTGTACTGTTCTGGTTTGAACGTTCGGACTAGTATGGTTTTAATTTGACTTTGACCGAGACCGTTGAGCATATCCACCGAAGCTGCTCAAAGACATCAGGAGTTTGGAGACAGTTTAGTGATAAGCTGAAAGAGAATAACGTGGATGTTGATTTTCAGAGTTGGCTATCCAAGAACCTGCAGGCTGAGAAGACAGGAATTGAGTTCGGACTCATCTGTTGGATTTTGTGGAAAGAAAGAAACGAGGGAGATATGGAAGGGAAACCTTTCTCTGAGCTTGGAAAGTTACATAGAATTCGGTCCTGGTTCCACATCAACAGCCAAGCGAACGAGAATGCCCAACGCAACATTTCAACTGTTCAGAGAGATAGCAGCACCCAGCAGATCGGATGGACACCACCACGTGAGGGATGGATTCAAGTTCAGACTTATGGCTCGGTGGATACTTCCACTGGGAAAGCTGCTGCTGGTGGCCTCCTGCGTGATCATCTCGGCAGATGCAAAGGTGCCTTCACTACTAACTTGGGAGTTTGCTCACTTACGCGGGCTGAGCTAAAGGGAGCTGCTGATGGACTCGACTTGGTTTGGCCAAAGGGCTATAGGAAGATTGAGTTGAACCTTGACTCTTCCACAACAATTGCTCTCATTAAGAATAGGAAGGACACTAACCATATTTATGGCTTGTTGGTCAAGCATATTGATAGAATTTTGGATAGAGAGTGGGAAGTTAGGATCTCACATGTCTATAGAGAAAGCAATTGTGCAACCGATTATTTGGCGAGTAGGGGTCACCTTGTTCATTTTGTCACACATCTATTCGATAAGTGCGACCCGAACCTCTTGTATTGGCTTTCCTACGATACCATGGAGACTACCATGGATCGGGTTATTTCTAATGTGATTTAGACGCCATCTGCTTTTTACAAAAAAAAAAAAAAAGTCCAGCGGGATGAGTTAGCTTGGTTACTTAATTTTTAGTAATCACGGTGGCTACTTTAATCTACACCATTCATTATTTCTTTTTCACTCTAATTTTAAATTAACGATGAAAATTATATTAGGGTAATTTTGGAATTGAAAAATATACCACATCTGATTACTCTATAAAGTATATCCAAACTCTACCCTATTGCAACCCGCCGCCAACCACCAAGCTCCCTCCCCGTAACCTCCCGCGACCCTCATCCCTCCCGAGAACCTCCTCCACCGCCGGCCGGCCTCCCCTCCACCGCCCTCCTCCCTTCCCCTCCTCTCTCGCATCTAGGGATGGCAACAAAACTCGAACCCATGGGTACCCACCCGACCCAATCCGGTCAACGCGGGTAAAATCCGTGTTGACGGGTTTTGGGCCGGGTTTGGGTTTAAACCCGTTCACTATTCAACGGTTTGAGTTGGGTTTGGGTTTAGGTAAACCCGGCCCGTGGGTACCCGCCCACCCATATAATTAATTCTTTGGTATATTTAATATTCTAAACAACTAATCTTATTTATGTTTGTGGAGACATGACTATCTTTTTAATTGTGTAGAATGAAGTTGATGTTATGGAGTGGAGAGTAAAGAAACTTAATTGAAAGGAAGAAGCTTTCAATTAAACATGTTATTTATGGATAATTTGTGATTTACTTCAATTTTCTTGAGTTTTCTAGATTGGTGTTGAACAATTTGTATAGTTAATTTGTGATTTGCTTGAATTTTCTAAAATGGTGTTTTATATATGAATAATTTGTATTGACATATTGATATTTGACTTTAATTTTGGTAAGAACTTGTAATTGTAAATTTTTTACGACAAAACCCGTGGGTACCCATGAACCCGCGGATACCCAACGGGTTGGGTTGGATTTGAGTTTTTCAAACCCAGTGGGTTTTACCCCGGGTTTTTTTCAAAGATAAACCCATGGGTTTGGGTTTGGGTTTGGCAAAACCCGACCCAACCCGACCCATTGCCATCCCTACTCGCATCTCCCATCTCTCTCTTACCTCTCTCTCTCTCTCTCTCCCAGAAGCTGCAGCACCATCAATGGACGCTCGCGTCCCAGATCGGGACTACCCCCGACGACGACGATTCCCCCGCCACTTGGGAATCTTCCTCCGACGTTGCTGATGGCGGCGCTGGACGAGGAAATTCAATATGCTGCATCCTAGAATCTTCTTTGGTAGCGTGTGCATTACGCTTTGGTAGTTACCTGTATTTGTGTTAGTTAGATGGAGCATTATGTTTTGGTAGTTATTTGCATTTGGTTTGGTAGTGGTTACATTATACTTTGGTAGTTTCTTTGTATTTGTTTTGGTAGTGTTTGTATTGATTTATTTATGCAATGGTATTGTTTTGATTTCACAGTAGTAGTGGTATTGGTTGTTTTGGTATTTGTTTGACTTTTGTAATGATATAGATTGTTTATATTGGTAGTTTTCGTGTAATGGTATAGATTTATTTTTGCAATGGTATTCATGTTTTTCAAAATGGTAGTGGTTGTCTAATGGATTGGTAGTGATTTCGTGTTTTTTCTTTTGTAGAAAGATTGAGAAAAATATAGAAAGGAGATTTGACTGGAAATTAGGAAAGTGAGAGAAAAAGAAAAAATTGTAACTAATAAATTTTTGTAACTAATAATTTATTAAAATTAATTAATTAATATAATTTATTTTTGCATCCCCAATTTAAGCGTAATCACTAATCACTGTAACCGCTCCGCTCCCAATGTCCAGCCCCTACGACTGACGATTAGGATTCTGTCCTTGAATTTAAAACAAAGAAGCAAAAAAACTAGATTAGGGGTGTCGCCGAGCCGTTTCTCTCCTCCCTCTCTCTCATTGTTCTCATCCGCTGTTCCTTGTTCTGTCATCTGTGCACAAATTTATCACCTCCAGCGGCGTGTCTTCGTGTCAATCCCGCTGTTTGTCGATCTACTGCCATGACCGAGTCCGAGACCGAGAATTTCAGTTCGAATTTGCATCTGCCGTCAAGCTCAATCTGTGTCCCTTCCGCGCAGCGCCCGATCTGGCCACAGGGAAACCCTCCTCCCCTGAATCTCTTCAGCAAACTGGCAAACGATCTCCTCATAGAGATTCTGATTCGCCTCCCCAACCCTAGATCCTCGTGTCGATGCAAAGCCGTCTGCAAGCTCTGGAGATCCCTCATCACGGATCCCAGCTTCAGTCTCCGTTTTATTTCTCATCACCGGAGCAGGTACCAACCAGCAGCTGTGTTTCTTCCCTCACACAAACCCCACTCGATACTCAGCTTTCTCCCCATGCCCGATGAAGCTCGACCGGACTTGAGAGCCTTCGATTGCTTCAAGGACTTGCTTTTGTGCGGGTTTGCTGACCTATTTGGCGAATTGGGCAGATCATACTTGGTCTGCAATCCGTTTACCAAGCAATGGGTTGCCCTGCCTTTGGCGCCTAGAAAGCCAAAAGGAGGGCATTATGGATCTGCGGTGGTGTTAGTTTGTCAACCCCGTACTAGTACTAGTATTAGTATTAGTAAAGAGAATCGTGTGCAGCAGCCAGAACCAGGACCAGCCTTTGTTTATTCTGAGTATCGTTTCCGCGTGGTGTGTCTTTTCCAATGTTCCGATTATATGATGCTGCATGTGTTTTGTTCCGAGTCCAGGAAATGGACCATGTTTTTTTTCAAGGATTCCGTCAAGAGGGGGTGGACCAATGTAGTCTGGTGGAACGGGAGGCTGTTTTTGGTGCATCTTCAATTCACTACCTTCTGCTCAAGGCTTGCTGCATATGATCCTTTCCACCTTGATATGCCCGCCTACTTTCTGCGTGTACCCCCTGAATTGTGGAGCGCAATGCGCAAGGCTGGGAATTTTTCAGTATCACGAGGTGCTTTTCACATAGTTGTATTAGAAGTTGAAAGTGCAAGTGAATTTTCAAGGAATGCATTGACTGTTTGGAGACTGGATATAAATACTGGGAATTGGAGCCAACAATATGAATTGGTGTTGAAGACGACGACGACCACTTCGTCTTCATTATTATGGGGTGACTTCGAACTCGAAAAGTGTCGTGTGCTTGATTTGCATCCGGAGAAGCCAGAAATTGTCTTCTTTAAATACTTGAATGAGTGTGTCTTCTCCTGCAATTTGAGGACAGGGACAGGAGAGCCAGAGTTCTTCGCAGCAGTAGAACTAAAGTGCTATGAACCTGGTTGGAGGGCGTTGCAGCCCAGAGTCTCTTGCTGGCCCACCCCAATTCCAAGGTATGAGGACTTGCGAGGTATGTATGATGGAAGCTACGATTGCTGGGTTCAGAACAGCAGTAGTACAACAACACTTTGCTCAACCATTGGTAATTTACTTGGAGTTTACCTTTTCTCTAAGCCTCTGTTTGTTTTCTGCCATTACGTCTATAGTCTTGTTTCTAATTGCTTTAGAATTTTGTTTTGTTTGGAAACTCTCATGCTAAACTTAACCCCCTGAGTGAAGCTAGCCATGCATGTTATGATGCGAGAGAGAGTGAGTGAGTGAGTGCCCTGTTGTCCTCTCGATTTCTTTTTGTACTAATTTGTAATCCCATCTCGTTTATGTTGTGGGTTTGCTTGTTGAACTAACAGAAGAGTGCCAACCCTTGGTTGAACAATTTGGTCGTAAGAGGAAGGCCAACAGATCAGCAGCAGCAGCATTACACTCCAAGTGTTGCGTTCAAAGGAAGTAGGAGGTGGCGAAAGGTGGCTTGTGACCTTAGAGTGGTAAAACTAAAATTATCTCACTGATCGGTTCAAGGACGAGGAGCCGCAACTGGGTTCAAATGGTTTGTGTTGTTGGATGCCTCGATGATCTGTTGGAAGAGGAAAAGCAAGAGTGTTAAATTTCAGCATCATTGGATGTTTAATTAGAATGTTAAACCAGTGGTTGTGAGATTGGGATAGATTGATGTTTAGAGATTTGATATATAATGGGTAAGAAATAGGGATTTAGAATAGAAAGAAACAGAATCAGGAATTATGGATTTAGAAGAGGAAATTGGGCATAATAGGATAGAATGGACGGCGGCCTTAGTGAGAGAAGGGCTAGATTCAGAGGATTAGGAGAAAATAATAGACGAAATCGATTCACTGAATAATACTTGGTTTATTGATTTCTAATTACTATGATGATAACTCAAATAACATAACTTTTCTTTTATATTAGCCATTAATTTACGATTTGTTTTACAGTCATCGATCGTTAACCTCTGTCAAACTCTGTTAACTCCTGCAGTTTTTTGATGATGTGGCAAATAAAATTATGGGTATTTAGCATAAACGGTCACAAACCTATTCACTTTGTACGAAACGGTAACAAACCTTTAATTTTGCACGTTTTAGTAACATACGTTTGAGAGAATAACTAAATGATCATTCCATCCATCTCCATCCACAAAAACCGTTAATTTTGTCCAGTCAGCATGCCACGTCACTTAAAATATTAATAACAAATTTGATGACCAAACCCAATTGAACCGGACTGTGCAACCAAAAGCCATAACTCTATACCACCCAACAGAGCGAATCATCGAAGGGATACCTCCCAGGTCGCGCCGCCGATAGCCGAAAACCATTGAAGGGTTGCCGATAGCTTCTCCGGGTCGCGTCGCCGGCCGAAACCAACGAAGGGTCGGGGCCTCTTTCCCCTGCTCAAATCGAATCTCAAAGCTGAATTGTCTATTGCTTTCGCTAATAGTTTCCCGGATGAGCGATGTAGATAATTTCGGGGTTTTTGTATTAGATGGGTGTTTTCTCGATCATTGGTAATAGGTCTGGGAAAACAGATACGGTGGGCTTGAATGAGATTGTGCTAGAATGGCTTGCTTCATGATAAGCTGGGAATTTTGTTAGCTTCAGAGCTTTAGGTTTCATAAAGGGAGAACAGTTAATTGTTGTTAATTTATGTTGCAGTGAAAGTAGGGATTTCGGAGTTCTTGAATGGAATAGGGAAAGGTGTTGAGAACCATGCGGCCAAGATTGAAAATGAGATCGGAGACTTTCAGAAACTTCTCGTTAGCAACGCAACCAGGGCGGCAACCCTTCGTTGGTTTCGGCCTGAGACGCGATCCGGAGAAGCTATCGACGACGGGAGACTGTTCCGTGGGTGCGATTCTGGGGACGACGGGAGAAGCTATCGGCGACCCTTTGTTGGATTTTGGCTATCGGCGACGCGTCCTGGGCGGGCAACCCTCCAACATTTTTTTTTAAGTAACTCCAAGATTTTGGGTGGTACAGAGTTAGGGTTTTTGGTTGGGCAGTCCGGTTCAATTGGATTTGGTTATTAAACTTTTTTATTAATATTTTAAGTGATGTGGCGTGCTGACTCGACAAAATTAACGGTTTTTTTGACGGGGATCGACAGAATGATTTATTAGATATTTTCGTGATGATATGAATTTGAACTTGTTTATGGTCAATGATAATTTCATTCTTAAATTAGTGTAATATACAAGCCTTATATGTTATATATCATTAACGGTTCTACCAACGGTTCACCAATGTTTTGTAACGGTTAACCAGTGAACCCTTAAACCATTAACTTTTCCGGTTCAGCCTCCGGTCCGGTTCTGAAAACAGAGGAGATTACTAAAAACGTTTACGTTTGGTCACCAAAAATATATAATTCCAATAATGGTCAATACGATTAGTTTAACAGTAGGGATGACAAAAATATCCTTCCCTATTTAACAGTCCATGTTTGGTCACTCTTCGTTATTTTCCGTGAGTCTCTATTAACACCATCAGTCATTTGCTGGCGTGGCTAAGAAAAATGCTAACTCACCCAATTTTAACTTGTCACATCACCAAACCCGACCCACCATGTAATCTCCCCAACCTAACCATTCCCAATTACGACCCAACCCGTAACAACCCCACCGGACTGTGATTCCGATCATTCTTTCCGAACTTCAGAGTTCCATAGAAGGAAAAAACAGTCGCAACAGTTTGTGGGAAGAAAATAGGATAATCAATGGCCAAAAATCACTACTTCCTTGTCAGAAAATATCTCTACTAATCCCAAATTCCTCCGTTGCCCTTATTCTTCCTCTTCATCATCACTAAGAACAAATTAGATAGAGAAACCTTTCTTTTTTTTAATTTCCGAGTGATGTCAAGAGAAGACATGAGTTAAACAAACAAAGCTACCCAGGAACTCCTTACAAACGAACCCCTAATGCAACCACCCCAAAAAGTCAAAAGACTCTAACTCTAGGAAAGACAAAAGCAGTGCTTTACGCGCCACTCTATGGGCAACACTGTGGGCGACCCTAGAAACCACCCTAAACTCTATACAAGCTGACAAAGAATCTAAGATCTGACGACACTCCCGGAGCAATGACCCTCCAACTGAATCTTCTAGTACACCTTGTCGGATCTGGTTGACGACCACTTCGGAGTCACCTTCCACAATCACTTAAGACAAGGATCTTGAAGCGACAAAAGAGATGGCATCCCTCACTGCTATGAGCTCTACAAGGTAAGGGTCGACTACTCCTTGGTGACGCAGACCGACTGCCACCACCACATGCTCGTCTGAGCCACGAACAACTAGACCAGACGAGCATCCCGAGTCGCGAACTGCTGCATCGAAATTGATCTTCAAAAAGTCGGCAGGAGGAGGAGTCCAAGCTGGCGGAGGAGAGATTGGGTGGACAGATCTGGGGAGTGGAGGAGGGGGGGGGGAGCAAATTGGAAACTTCTAGGACCTGGTTGTAGAATTGTCTTGCTAAGGAACAAACATGAGGTTGATAGAATTCAAAGGTCACTGCATTTCTAGACTTCCAGATTCTCCAAAGTAGACAGACGCATTGGAGAATGTGGAAGGGGAGATCTCAGAGATCATGACATGTCGCCACCATAGACTAAAGTTAATAGTCGGGACGAAATCAATGAAGTTGCTCAATCCCACTAAAGCCACAACCTGGGGGCTAGGGGGCATCTAAAGAACAAGTGTTCAATGCTCTCTCTATGTCTCCAGCAAACGAGACATCTATTGAGGCAATTAACTCCACGTGTTTGTAAGGCTACCACAATGGGCAGTATGACCCTAAGACATTGCCATATGAAGAATTTAAACTTTGGGGGACTTGGATATTCCAGGCCTTTTTCCAAATGGGTGGGTCGATTATAAGCACCATTGGTTTTCTGCTTACTGCTAGGGCTGATTCTAGAGCGAAGTGATATCCTGATTTGACTGTGTACTTTCCATCCTTGGTGTAATGCTAGACTCTGGTATTTTGTTGTGGGAGACAAGGTAGGGGGATCCTTCTTATAATGTCAACGGATTGAGGCTCAAAGCAAGATTGAAGCCATGGGATATTCCACTCCCCACGTCCTTCTTCGATGAAGTAAGAAACCATGGGAGACTCATACGGATTTTGGACACGAATTTTTGGCCTTAAGGGTTTGTCTCCCGGAAGCCAGTTATCCAAGAGTGCTCTGGTTTCTTGGCCATTGCCTATCTGCCATCTTAGCCCCTAAATAAGAAGATCCCTTCCGAATAGGGGAACTTCTCCATCCCCATGATGGGTTGGAACTAATTGATGCTTCTAAGACAGAGCATTGAGGAAAATATCGGCCCTTATAAATCTATGAAAGGAGAGAGTTCGGATTAGTCCAAATTCTCCAACATTGTTTTTGCTAACAAGGCTTGATTGAATGCTCCAAAATCCTTGAACCCTAGTCCACCTTGAAACTTACTATGTGCAAGACTTTTCCAGGATAGCCAGTGGATCAGATGGTCTGTATTATCTGCAGTTCCCCACCAAAATTTTGCCACATGACTATATAGACGTCTGCAGTTCTCCTTTGGGAGTTTAAAGCATGACATTCCAAGTACCAGAATGTTAGTGGCAGAAGATATAATAAGAGTATCCTTCCCGGCTTTGGAGAGCGAGCGTTGCTTCCACCCTTGTAGCTTCTTTATGAGTTTCTCCTCCATAAAAAGGAAAGTATCTCTTTTTGATCTTGATAGGATAGCATGTAATCCTAAGTAAGAGTCTTGTTCTCCTATGCTGCCAACCCCCAACTGAGCACCCATACTTTGTGCCTCGAAAGGATCCGTATTCTGACCGAATAGAATAGCCTATTTGGTTAGGTTTACTCGTTGTCCGCTCAACTCTTCATAGGCTTGGATAAGTGAAAGGAGAGTTGTGCAAAATTCCGGGGATGCAGCTAGGAATAGATACGAGTTATCTGCGAAGAATATATGAGAGATCATCAGACATTAGGGTCTGATTTTAATTCCTTCTAGATATTCCAAAGAAGTTGCTTTCCTTAGCATACTCGAGAATCCTTCTGCGCAGATGGCGAAAATTATAGAGGATAGAGAATCGCCTTGCCTTAACCCTCCTGAGGGTTTGAAGTACTGAGATGGTAAGCCATTAACAAGCAAAAAATATGATACTGTTGTGACACATTCTTTTATCCATGAAATGAATCGAGGATGAATGCCATGTACTCTCATCATTTCGAAGAGAAAATGCCATTCTACCCGGTCGTAAGCTTTCTCCATATCCAGTTTCACTGCCATCCACCTTTTCTTTCTAGATTTTGAAGTTTTAAGATGGTGAACCATTTCATGACTAATCAGAATGTTGTCTGAAATTTGTCGGCCTTTGATGAACCCGTTTTGAGATTGGGAGATAATACTGGGCAACACCCTGCTAAGTCTTCCAGCCAAGATTTTGGCAATGACTTTTTTTGTAAATTACCTGGCAGAGGCTGATGGGTCTTAGATTCCTTTCTACTTTAGAGTCCTTAATCAGAAAGTTAATTTTGTTTTCTACCTTGTGTCGTCTCATTATCGATCATGTCCTCTTGAACCAATTTCCATAGGAGACCATATTAGGCAAAAAACAAACAAACCCACCCACCCCTGAGAGATAGCTATACAAGAATTTGGCCATGCCCACCACAATCCCGGGAAGCAGCATCGGAGCACTACAAGAAGCGCCGTCATTGCGGGTTATTTGAGATGGCTGGGGGTAGCAACCAAGTATATGAGAATGACGAGAGTAGAGAGAACAACAAGGACGATGATGAAACTAAAAGCAGGAACATCAACTTTGGGGCTAGATCCAAACTTGGCTCAGGACAGGTCCTAGAAGATCTGGGCCTCAAAGTTCCATCTGGGGTGTGGGTTGTTGGGTGAAGCGTCTTGGAGTTGTGCTTCTTTAAGAAGACAAAGGGCTAGAACAGTAGGTGGTGTTAAACGTAACAGGAATATCGAAACAGAAACGTAAATCCACACACAGAGTAGAT